CTTCGGCCGCTTGGTCCTGGTGGCTGGCAATCTATGGGGCGGTGGGCTTCTCCCGACTCCTCTGGGGGATCCTGGCAGAAGGGCAAAGCACCAAGGAGTCCCGGAAAAAAGAAGACAAGGCCACCCTTTGGAAGATGCTCCAACTTTTCGGTCCAGACAAGCTGTACCTCTCTGGCGCTTTCTTGTTCCTCATCCTGGCGGTGATTGGTGAGTTGGTGCCAAATTAAATCATTCTCTGTGTTGCAGGATAAATGTACCACAAATAGTCATCAGGGCCAGAATCACACCAGTACACTAAAGCAGGGGTCCCCAAACTTGGCAACTTTAAGACTTGTGGACTTCAACTCCCAGAATGGGAGCTGGCTGGAGAATTCTGGGAGTTGAAATCCACAAGTCTTAAAGTTGCCAAGTTTGGGGACCTCTGCACTAAAGAAAACAATTCATTTGTGAGATGGTTGCCAGAAGGTCTTTAACACCACCTGATCTCAGCCTTTGAAATTGTTACTCCTTTTTGATATTCTGCCTAAATCCACCTGATATGCCCCCCTGGGTTGCCTCCTGCCACGGAGCAAGATTTCTGGAGACTTCGGCCATCGGCTCTGGGATTCTGCCTCCTTTGTACCTGCCGATTGGTTTCCCAAGACTGTGTCGTTCGTCCCAGGATGAAAAGAGACATAGACAGATTCCTATTACCTATCTCTTCCCCCTTAGGACTATTACCGTGTTGCTTGCATCTTTACAATTTATATTGTTTCTTTTGTTTTACTAGTATGATTCAATTGTGTGTTAGTAACCTATGTATGATTTGATTGCTTATTAGTAACCTATGACTGTCACAAAGTATTGTGTCTTATGATTCTTGATGAATGTATTTTATTTTTTCTTTTATGTACACTGAGAGCTTATGCACCAAAGACAAACTCCTTATGTGTCCAATCACACTTGGCCAATAAAGAAGTCCTATTCTCTTGTCTTGTCTTGTCTTGTCTTGTCTTGTCTTCTATTCAACTCCCATCTGTCAGAAATGCTGCAGGGTCTCCTGCTTGGGCAGGAGGTTGGACTAGATGACCTACAAGGTCCCTTCCAACTCTGATTGTCTGTTATCTGTTAAAGCTATTCTATTCTATTCTACTCTACTCTACTCTACTCTACTCTACTCTACTCTACTCTACTC